CAATATAAAAGGTGCATGCCCCCCCCGATGCAGCTGTTAGCCTGATGCTTACAGGGTATTTTATCCCAGTGACACAGAACCTCCCATCACTGAATACCCAGACCAAGGAGGGAACCAAATTTTCTAATTGCTAAACTAGTATCAAAAGAAACTGCTAGCATTTCCACTTCAGACAAAACTTTTCTCTGTAAGAAAGAATGTCAGCACCTCTCCTAATAGCTGAGGTTCCCAGGTGGTTAAAGGGCCACTGCTGTTCTGAGGCAGCCTTCCCTGTGGTCAGAAATGGTGCAGAACTTAGACTCACTCTGTTCTGAACGTCTCCATCTAGCTCCAGGCAGCCATGGGCTGGCCATGCTGGATTTGGACTGTGCTCTGCTCAGCCTGCTCAGATCTGCTTTTTCTGGATCCCATTAGGAGGTGCTTAACTTCCCATGAAGCCTAACACAGGTTCTGGATTCCTCTCTCATGCGTAATATCTGACACATAATCAGAAACAGATCCTGGCCCAAAGCTCTAGCCAGCCAAAAATGGAGAAAAGCAGACTGGCTGACATTCTGCCAGGGCTACACTCTCACAGGAATACTGATGCCCATGGGATGACATAGATGTAAATTCATTTGATCCGAGAATTATTGCTTGTAGCTGAAACATTATATATAAAGTTGTAGTGGATGCCATGAAAAATGACAGCTTTTCAGATACTTCACATTGCAACAGCAATTAATGGTTCTGCTTAGATGTTTGGATCAAGCTGGAATTACAGTGCCATGACACCAGTTGTAAGACAAAATTTCCCCAAAAAATTAACTTCTTGAAATGTCTGAAGCACTGGATTCATATAAAGGAAAATAAAGCCACTCCACAACTTCAAATAAATACCCTTCTAAGTACCAGGAACCAGACCCTCAGTTAATATAAACCCTTTAAATAGAATGGATTTAAGCAATTTACAGATACTTCATGCCTTTGTTTCAGAATAAACAGAAATAAAAGTAACTTTTTTTTTCCTATTCCCACCTTTTCACAATTCATTTTGTTTGGATCTCTCCTAAGGACTGATATGAAAGCAATTGCCTTCTTGGGTAAGTGTGCAACACAGGAATCCAGGGTTTCTTCTCAGCAAAGGAGGAAAAAAAGAAATTTTGGAGCTACCTACAGTTTTAAATAATCTCCTCTCACTAAAAAAAGCCTGACCTTGGTACTTCTAAGACAGGTAATAAAGTGATAAAGTTAATTTCCAAGACAGATGAGAAAATGCACTGAAAATTATTTGTACCAAACTGAAGAAGACATTTAAACCTCTGTGTCTGGGCAGGTTTATGTATCTATTGGATTTTAACTCCTGTGCTCCCCATTAAGTTACTGCAGTAAAGATGACATGCAAAAGTCCTGATCTGATCAGAAATTACAGCCTGGCTGTCCAAGCCACTGGGACACAAGGAACACAGCCAAGATCCCATTGATTTAACAGTAAGAAGGGGGTTCTATATATTATGATCTGTTTGTCTGCCTCCATTGGAACCCCTCACTTCTGTTGAGACCATGCATTTCATTCCTGAATTTGTGCCAGATTATTCTGTCAAGGCTGAAGTCATTGAACCTGAGGCCATGTTAGCCAGGCCCTTACCTTCTCCAAACTGGCAGAAGTCTTCTTACTTCAGCCAAGTGAGGACAGTCAAAAGTGTATGAAAGCAAGACTGGCAGGGTTTCTAGAGAACTCCTGTCTTCTTTGCTGTTGCACATACCTCTGCCACAGAATACCATTCCTGAACTGGGAAACACTGCATCTTGGAATCATAATAGGTTTTCTGTCACTGTCCTATCACGCTGGAAAGCTGTTTCAGAGTCTGACTACTCTGTGGGTTTGAAAAAGTGAAGTAAAAAGGCACTTGAAAATAACAACATCAGCCTGAAAGGGGGGCCAAAAAAATTCTATTATATCACTTCAGTTTGCTTCCAAGATAAAGTCTCTATTTAGTAGGCATCAGTCCCGCTCGTTCCTAACTATTGGTAATAGTTAGTAACTATTGCCATTTCTCTAAACAGAGTGAAATTTTGATAATGTGTCTCACCTAAGTTCTTTCAGACATTTAAAATGTAATTGCAACACCTAAAAATATTTCTCCTACCTCACTTGTTGCTTGAAGATACGTGGCCATGTAAGGGAGTGATTGCAATTTGACATGTTCCCACATGCTAGGAGTGTCACAGCAGCAAATCTCTTAGCCTCCAGCAAGCATCAAGTCATCTCCTTAACCTGTTTCACAGTGGATTATATTAAACCACATCACCTTGCATTTGCCTCATACACAGATATTTAACTCAGATTAGCAAATATACTGATTCTGCCTCTAAGCCTTTAGACAAGAGGTCTATAATAGAGTTTTGCACCTCGAGTCAGCTGCCGTGATCTGCCTTTTCAAGACATGCCAGCAATTCAGCCTGTTCTGAGTTTAGGCCCAAGGGAAGTCTACTGCCAAAAGCACACTGCTAAGGAAAATACACAAGCCGTCTACAAACCCATGGGGTGAATGAAAATGGTTTACTCAAAACTTATGCACCATCTTATGACATCTCAGCTGGATGGATAGGTTGGAGTTAGTTTATGTAGAGCAGGAGTTGGGTTTTTTTGATAAGTCTATCTGCAAGGTTATGTTGCTTTGCTGCTGAGTGTTGTTCTGGGAAAGAATGGCCACTGCATTCTTTCCAGGGCCAGTAAACCTACAAAATGTGGCACATGAAATAAAAATCTTCATCAATAGTGAATATTAGTGTCATGTCTTGCAAAAGCTAGGTTATTTTGTTTAAACATTAAAATAAGCACCTTTTGCCTTGAAAAGGACTGTGGCAATTAATTGGACAAAAATAGTTTCCTGGGATCTGAAGTTACAATGGCAGCCACTTAACTGAAAGCAAGTGAGAAAAATGACACGTGAAGGTTCATCCCAGATAAGGTTTTACCAAGTAAAAGCTAAAGTAATATTAAAGTAGTGCTTGATTAACAGTATTACATTGTCAGATCATGTGTAAGATTGCTTTTTGCATTATAAAAGATAGGCATTCTCAGGACCATGCTTGTCTTACTGCACTTCAGAATCACAGGGTGCTGTAACAGCAATTACCATCCTTTGCCTTTGATGTGCACTTTTGAAGCACCACAATGATCACAGTTAAAAACACCTTTAATTCCTGAACTTCTAAGATATATATTTTTTGCCTTTCACTCAGCTCTTAAGCAATTCCCAAAATCTCATGTGCCCTTGAATTTCAGCATGAAACAAAAGTAGAAAATTAAACTTTGCCTTCCCAATACCTATCTACCTCTGCTGATCCTCCAATAGAGAGACCACAGCCGAGGCAGGAAACTGCAAGGCTGGGAGTAGATTGGCCTCTCCAGTGGTGCTCATACACTGAAGAGCAGGTTGCCCTTTGCTTGTCAGCTAGGTCCCACCACAGCAGCATGGCCCAAGCCAGACCTGCCTGGGTTTGCTTCCAAAATAAAGTCTCTGTTTAGAGACTTTTTGGCGTTAGAGCCTTGCCCCGTAACCAATATGTACCTTCCGAAACAGCAACCTACCCCCTAAAAAACAAATAAAAGAAAGAAAAACCAAACCCAGCTCTGGGTTTTGGCTTGCATGCTGATCTTCTCCACCCTGCAGCCACACGTATTTTGGGCACTGGCAAGCACAGAATCATAGAACCATAGAATGGTTTGGGCTGGACAGGGCCTTTAAGACCATCTAGTTCCAGCTCCCTTGCCACAGGCAGTGACACCTTTCACTACACCAGGTTGCTAAGTGCTCCATCCAGCCTGGCTTTGGGCACTACTAAGAATGGGGCATCCACAATTTCCCTGGGCAACCTGTTCCAGTACCTCGCCACCCTCACAGTAAAGAATGCCCAGTGAGCACCATGATGGGGCCCTCCTTGCATGCCCAGTCCCCTTCCCCAACCTCAGAGGCCCCTCAGTGGCATCCTTGGAGAGGGAAGCAACCCCCTCAGCCTTCCCTCCACCCTGGAGACACCTGCTCCTTGACACCTCATAGCCAGCTCATGCCAATGTTCCTCCATGCATATCCATACACCTGTCAGTCCTGGTGAAGAATCACAGAAGGCTTTGAGTTGGAAGGGACCTTAAAGATCACCTGGTTCCAACCTCCTTACAGGGGCAGGGACACCTTCCACTAGGCAACATTGCTCTGAGTCACACAAACCCGGCCTTGAAGACTGCCAGGGATGGGGCAGACACAATTTCTCTGGCCAACCTGTGCAAATGTCTCACTACCCTCACAGTGAAGAATTTCTTCCCATTAGCTAATCTAAACTTCCTCTGTTTCAGTTTTAATCCACTTGCCTTTGTCCTGTCACTACACACCCTCGTGTAAAGTTCCTCTCCAGCGTTCTTGTAGCTCCCTTCAGGTTCTGAAGGCCACAGTTAGGTCATCCCAGAGCCTCCTACAGGGTGAACAGTCCCAATTCTCCAAGCCTTTCCTCACAGGAAAGGTGCCCCATCCCTCTCATCAGCTTGGTGGCCTCCTCTGAACTTGTTGCAGCAGTTTTATATCTGGGGACCCCAGAGCTGGATGCAGCACTGCAAGTGGGGTCTCACCGGACCGGAGTGCAGCCCTCCTGCACGGCAGGAATAATTGAGACGTTGGGTGGATCGCGGTTTTTGGTTGGTTGGTTGGTTTCGGTTTTGGTTTTTTTTTTTTTTTTTTTTTTTTTTTGTTGTTGTTGTTGTTTTGTTTTGTTTTTTTGGTTTTTTTGGGGTTTTTTTTGTTGCTTTTTTTAATATATCGGTGTTTGGAAGGCACAACACTCCGCACGTTACTCCGAACCCCCGGTAAGCTGCCGGGGTTGCCTGAGGCCACTGCGGCGAGGGAGGCCCGCGCCCGTCCGGCTCCGTGAGGGGCGGGGAGCCGGGGCTGCCGGCGCCGGAGGAAGTCGGCGCTCGGCCGGAAACCGGGATGCAGAGGGCGGGCAGGGGGCGTCGCCGGGGCCCCGCCGTCCGCCGCGGCTGTGGCCGCCGCGCCCATGGCCCAGCGGGCGCCCAGGGGGCAGGGGCAGGACGAGGAGGAGGGAGCGGAGGAGGAGGCGGCGGCGAGGGGCAGCCAGGCGCGGGCCAGGAGCCATGCGGAGCCCGCGGCGAGCGGCGGCAGGACCCAGGACCGGCATGAGAGGAAGCGGAAGAGGCAGGAGGCGCAGCAGCTGCAGAAGATCCAGCACTTGGAGTCTTTGTAAGGAGCGGAGGAGGGGAGGCTGCCCGCGGCTCCCGCCCCGGCCCTGCCCTGAGCGCACCCCGCCGGCATTTGGGGCTCATTTCCAGTGCAGGGTGTGGGGGTTTTTGGGGGGGTGGTGATTATTTCTCCCCTGTCCCCTTAGGGGTGAGCCGGCAGAAGGGGTTCGGGACCACTTGCAGAGTTGCTTGGTGATTTATGAAGGGCTTGTTGGGGCACAGGCTCTCCCGGGTTCCTCCAAGTCTGACAGATGCAGCATAGGAGCAGAGGTTGTTCCACTAGAATGGACTAAAAAAAAAAAAGAAATCGGGATAAAAAGGTGCTGTAAAGGTTTATGTTATTTCACCGAAAAGGAATTATTGTTTTAACGGAATAAAAAGGTCAGAAGATATACAAGAACATGATTTTGTTTTTTTTCTTTTCCACATGCAACTGAAAATCAGTTTGTTATTAAATGCGCCAAAAAGCACTCCAAAGTTATTGTTTTAAAGATGGGATGAACACACTTTAACCACCCTGCTGTTCTGATTGTATTAGTATGATTGTGCTTAGCAATCCTATAGGTATGTAGGGGTGTCTGTGTGTGCACAGCTAAACCAATGAAATATTGCCTATGCCATCAAACTTATGGCCTAAAATTATGCACAGCCAGTATAAACATTTCGTGTCCTGCTGAGTTAATATGTGGATAATGTCTGGAGAGTCCTGTTGAAAAGAGTCTGCCATAAAGCAGAAGATTTTGGGACTCTGGGCTTGCACAGCGCTGTTCTTCTTGTTTCATTGGAAAACAACCCCAAAAAAATCTCAGTTCCCTTCTAAGACCACTCTACACCAAGGCAGCAGATTACAGAAAATAGTGTATCTGTTTAAATACAGATAGGATTTGAGGGGGGAAAATACCCAGTACAAATTCAGTTATACAGACATGCATCTTTCTAAGTAATGTGTATTCTTTACCTCCAGGACCATTTTGTAAAATGCCTTGGCATTTAACTCCTTAGCACATGCATTATCTCAGTTGCTGTGTGCTCTATGTAGTACCTGTTTGCTACTTGGATTTTACCAAATGTTTTATCTACTGTTGACTCCAAAGAAATGCTGCAGAAGATATGGTACTTTGCTCAGTAGGGCTCTGTCTTTAGGTTTAATGCAGAGAAGATGAGGAAATTTTTATGTATTAGGTTTGGCTGGCAAAGCTAGATGTAAGGAACTGTCTGACTTGACAGTTTCAGCTGGCTATGTCTGTGATTCAGCAGTGCTGGAGTAAAGAAGTTTGGAGACCTTGGGGAGGGGTGCAGCAAAAAAAGAGAATTATGCATGTATGGTATTGAAGCTTGATCAAATGTACCACATATCCCCAGGAAGTAGTTGCGCTCCCACAAGAATATGAATCTGAAGGATGTTAGACATGTGTACTAATATGATAAATGCTGTCTCTCAGCTTGCTGTATCCATGCTCTGCTCTAGTTCTTAGTAATAAGTTATAGGGTAAAATTTTAGGAAAAATATGAGCTGAAGGCTTTAACTCAATACCACTGAAAAAATGTATTTTTTCAATTTATTTGTCTGTGCTAAGCTGCAGAGTAACAATATCTCTATTGCTTTTCAGCTATGAGAAACCTCCCCCTGGGCTAATTAAGGTTGGTAAAAAGCAGTCATTTTCTAGGATTATGAGGGATTTTCACAAAATGTGTTCTTTAGGTGTTTAAGTGTCTGTGATACCTATATAAATTACATCAAGAAGTAAGTGCTTCCCAGGAAAAACTCAGAGAATCATTACAAGCTGACCACTTTGTCTTGGTGATCCAGAGTGGAATGCCCAGGATCACATAGAAGGAGACCAGGTCTTTCATCATCATCTCTTAGCATACTTCATTCAGTATTTAATAGTGTGGATAGAGGGGAGCCATTTATGGAAAGCAGATTTTTGGTTTGAATGACATCTTTTCAGGATTCTTCTCTATTTTCTTAGGCCAATATAATTCTTTCATCATGATCATTACTTTTGCCAAATTTATGTACCTAAGCCATGAAGTAGTGTTTTTAAATTAAAAAATAACTGCTCTGTGTTGTAAAGGCTTCCTCGTAATTGTTATGTCTTTCTAGCAGGAAGAGGATAACAAAGTCTCTGCTTTGTGTTAAGTTTTCATTTCTATTATTTATTCAAATAAATGGATGAGAAGGATTGAAATTCCTGTACAGCAAAGTTCTGGCTGCAAAATTCAAGGGTGAGAAAAAAAGAAAGGGTCAAGTATTTTCAATCTTTTGTGTGTTACTAGGAAAAAAGATAATGGGGGAAATATGTTTCCTATAAAGTGAAGGTCTGTACACTTGAAGTATTAATTCTAGCAAAGTTAAAAAAAGGAAGTTATTTTATTGTCCTTATCTTTCTGCTTTTTCTTCATAGGAGAATGAAACAAAACCAGAAGACTGCATACCTGATGTACCAGGCAATGAAAGTGCACGAGAATTCCTGGCACATGCCCCAACCAAAGGGCTTTGGATGCCTTTGGGAAAAGAAGTCAAAGTTATGCAGTGTAAGGCTGAAAATATTCCAGATGTCATTAGACCATCATATACCATCCATTTACACTGTGGGAGGGCAGAATGTCTGGTGGACAGATGATGAAGTCCAGGTAGATTCACATCATATTGATAGAAAAGCATACAGTAGCTTGAAGGCTGTAATAACCTAGTATTTTATGGACATGACATTTATCAACATAGTGGTTGTATTTCTCTGTTTCTTCCAACAGATTGAAAATATTTTGCAGAAATGTGGTTTTGGCTTTTTTATGCTGCTTCTTCTTCTGATCTGTCTCAGAGGTGCAATTCACTGCTGCTTTTTTTTTTTTTTTTTTTTTTTTAAGGTTGGAGATGTAAACGTTATGGACACAGAACAGGAGATAAGGAATGCCCATTCTTTATTAAAGGCAATCAGAAGTTGGAACAATTTAGAGTAGTGAGTACCAATATTGTAGTATTACTGCTTGTATTTTTTAGTACTGATAATGCATAATCTTGCAACTGAAGATAAGCCTTTTAGGTGATGCTTTATTAAGGACTTTTTCTCTGTCTCTAGTATAACATAGATGCTGAAAATCTCCTAATACAGAAAAAGCTACAGGTGTGGTTGGATGTTTGACTACTTTGCAGAAAATCTACTCTTCAAGAGGAAAATTAATAATTTTTACATATAAATTGGAAATCTTCAAGAACCTGTTTCAACCATTATTTTTCTTTTGTGATTAAAATGTCAACATAACAAAAAATGTTTAGTCGCGCTTGAGCTGCCCACATTACAGCTGCTTCAAGCCTTCTGCTCTCACTGTGAACAACCACATCATGAATGCTGTTGTCTAGGTCTGTTATCCAGTCATTGTCTACAAGTCTGATCTCTTGCTGCATGAAGCTACATCTCAGTTCTGCAGATTCTTCCTGTGTGATCTCTTTAACAATTTCTGTTGCTCTGCATCACTGACCTATATTTCAAGCTGTCATCACGTCTTATGTCCTCATTTCTGTCCTTGAAAAATGTAATCTTGGCTTAGTCTGTCCAGGTTCTGGATTGTTACTAATTGTATGCAACTGCAAAGACTATTATTAGCTCTTTCCAATGACCAGACTGCCTCTAGTCTTCATTTTCCCTCGGGCTTCTTTGTTGCATCAAACTGTTGTTGTATGTCCAAGGCCCTTCATGGTGCATTCCCAACATCTTTCATTTGCTCCTGAAATTTCAGTTCCCACCTCTGGTCAGCATCGGCCATCTCTCCTCTCTGTTGGACTTGTTTGCTTAATCTTCCAACAGAAATGACTACCCCACCTTTTTTTCTGCATTCTTGCATGGCATAAACCCACCTTAAATGTCTGCAAAGTTTATTTGCTGTCTTCCTTCACAGCTATCTTTTGCTGCAATGCACACTTAATTTGATTTTAGAACCAGTAATTTTAGTGCATAGCATGATGGAACAACTTCAGCTTTACTATCCATATCTTATATTCCTTACTCCTGTATTCCTGTTTGTTTATATCCAGATTTTTAAAATGTACTGTAAGGGTACAGATCATTATTTTGAACTTGAGTATTCTATGTAAGTCTAGCTATTCCCACAGATTATGTATGGGATTCTCATAGTTGGCTGTGATTGGAGAGGTAGGGAGATGCATACCTAAGGAAGGTCCCCTTCTTTGGAGATGTAGCTAGAAAACCTTTCCCTAAAGCAAATACAGGAAAAGTTCAGGTGAGCAGTGCTGACAGTGAATTAAGAGCTTGCTAAGCATATTCCATCTTTTGATAAAAGCCTCTCGCATTTGGTTGCTTTGGTTTATTTTTTTAGGAGATAAAACCATTGGTGATAACATTGCATTTCCTGTTTTCCATTTTAAAGGCACATGAAGATCCAATGTATGATATAATAAGGGAAAATAAGCGTCATGAAAAAGAAAAGAGGTGAGTGTATCTGTAGTAAACAGCATTTTCAATTTAGTTTTTATTTTGGTAATGTGGCGCTAATGTATAGGTGACCTTTTTATAGGAGCTTATTTTTAGTTCAGAAGGTTTTTTTAATGGCAGTTTCTTTATGTTGATAGACTAATGCATTTCTACTTTCTAAATAATCACTCTTTTGTACTTCCAATCACTTCAATTCTTCAGCTTTTGTATTCTCCCCAAAACAAAGTTTAAAGAGCAGCTGTAAGCATTTATGCCATGATATTCAGGTACTTAGGTGTGGTTTTGGTTTAGGCCTGAAAAAAGAGTTGGATTTATTTTTTTTCTTTCACTGACTTCACTGAGGTGTTTTCTAAAATGTGGTTTGTCAGAATGTTTTCAGTAGAAATTAAGTGGGTGTTTAGAAAGCTAGTTCTAGGCAACTGATAATGCTACTTTTGTGAGGTCGTTATTTAGTGCATAAAGTGGCAGTTTTTGCTGCTTTCTTGCTTGAACTGCTTCAGTGAGATAACTGAACAAACCATAGGTAGCCCATAGAGCAGCACTCTTGGAGAGGAATCCTTGAAGAGGATAAAGAAGACAAGAATAAAATAAGCAGATACTTTGTCCCTAGTCCTTGAGAAGTCAAAAGAACAGTGCCTTTCAAAAATACTTCTGCATCCAGAGTAGAGCCTGCTCTGTCAGCTTCTCTGACATCCTCTCTGTATCAGCAGGACAATGAATGTCATAATATCCTAATCCCAATATGGCTCTGTAGGGATAAGCATAGAACTTCTTACCACCAGGTGGGCTGGTGTTAGCTGTTGCCTTATTTTTTTGCACACATAAATAAGCTAATAAGCTAGTCTGCCTTTCCTATCCAATGGGATGGAAAGTCCCTGAAAGCAGAACATCTGCTTGTCTCAAAGGAGTTGCTTTTATCAGTCCATGATATTATCTGTAATGAGAGCGTAATTAAGCGAAAGAGGAAGCGTTCCCCTGTCCTTTGCATGCAGCTCAACCATTCCTCAAGCCAGGAAGGAAGGATGAAAGCTAGGGGGGAAAGACAAGCTAGAAAGGATTCTCATTCACGTATTTTAAACTCAGGATACAGCAACTGAAGCAGCTCCTGGAGGACTCTACCTCAGAATCTGATAGCAGTGATGACAGTGATGACGATGATGAAGATGGCAGCAGCTCCACTTCCTCAGAACATAAACACAAGAAGAAAAAGAGAAAAAAGGAAAAGAAAAAGAAAGAAAAGAAGAAGAAGAAAAAGAGGAAGCATAAATCATCCAAATCTAATGACAAGTCAGAATCTGACTGACAGCAGTCGCCTGCTGCATGCTCATTGACCTCTCTACTTGTGAACTGTGAGGAAAGATCCAAAGAATGAGGAGGAAAACACCAGAAAGGGCTTTATTAAACTTGAAACATACATGTGTATGCATACAGCATCCTACACTGGCATCCTTTTCTGCCCCTCTGCAGCCAGAAAGAAGAAAGCTGCATTGAACCATATCTTTGTGCTGTAAATCCCATGCTGAGACTCATCCAGCTTGGTCAGATGGGGCCTCTGCATTGCTGCCTGTGACCAGCAGCAGAAAGCAGCGACCACCAAGGGATCACTGACAAACCTGTAGCATTAGCAGACTGTCTGTTGAAGTGTCTTTACTCCATGAAGTTGTTTTATCATATACAAAGCCTCATTGTACCAGGACTGCAGTTTGCACCATGCAGAGCACTGAGAGTTCCCTTCCAGTGCTTGTAATGAGCAGGTTGTACTGTATTTTCTTCTGCGCATACGTGCTGAACTTCTGTGTACTTATCCTAAAATTGGCAGCTAGGGAAATAAAAGAGTTCTGCTGCAGGGGAAAAAAGGTAATCAAGGGGATTTATTCATGACAAAATTGCAGCATCATCAAGACTTGATTTTTTTTTTTGGTGTGTGTGTAACAAAATCTCAACATCACCATCATTAATACAACAGTTCTGAAACACCTGAAGTGAAATATCTACAGTGTCTAAACCACAGAAGTGGGAGCCAAGTGTAATGATGTTAAATGTTCAACTTAACTGAAAAGAGGTAGTAGCTTTAGTTATTTTAAAAGGAGGGTTCCACATAAGAACTTTAAAAGATTAATTTCTGCATATTCTGCAGTATCAGTTGTTTTGATACAAGTTGAGGGAGGTTTCTTTTTTAAAAGGCTTGGGGGTAATAAATTCCCACTTTTTTTGTTTACTGGATTTGATGAGGTAACATTTTTTTGAATCATCCCACAAGAATATAAATGTGTAAGCTCTCAAAATGGTTTTCAACTATATGCATGAAACCACAATAATAGTAAAGAATTTGTAAGCAGGAAGAAGAGAACATTTTGTGTACTTAGGAGACCTCACATGCTGACCACACTTTTAAATAATCCTGCAGACTCAACCAGGAAGATGGAGATAGCTATAAACAGCATTACAGTAACCAACTCTCTTTGAAGCCTCAAGGTACATTAGTACAGAGCTGTGAATTGAGGAACTAGATGATGGATATTGGTACTGTGCAAAAGGAAAGAGAAAACTGGATTTGCTTTGAAAGAACTTCTATGGAATTTAGTCTCTGTGAGTATGCTAAGATTGAAAAAAAAACCCCACATGATACAGCTCTAATACAGTAGAGTGAACATTAACAGTGCAATCAAGGAGTCATAGACCACAATGCAGCTAAGATTGTTTTATTTTCTTCAAAGCTTTGGAAGAGAGGACAAGGGAAAGTATAAATTAAAATGTTTTTTCTCCCTCCTACATTTCTTAGAGTGGTTTAGAAAAAATAACCCCCCATTCCTTACCAGTCATTCACAATATGTTCTGAGGAAAAACAAGATAAGCAAGGCCTGCTTACAAGAAGTTTCTGTATCATATTCCCAGACCTTGAAGGTAGAGTTGTATTTTGTCTTGTATTTAGCAAATCTCCCTGTGATGGGATTTACTGGTGACTCATGGTAGTTCCCTATATTAGCAGCATTATCAAATTCTAAGGGCCTTGTTCTTTCACCAGAAAAAGATTTAACAGCTGAAATAGCATAGGGAGATCTATAATGGACTGATTCTCTTGGCCAGGTTGGACAGGGCTCTGGGCAACCTGGTCTAGTGGGAGGTGGCCCTGTATATGGCAGGGGGTTGAAACTGGATGATCTTTACAGCCCCTCCCAACCCAAACCATTCTAGAATTCTTGTATTGCCACACTTAGGGCTGAGATTAATGCATTTATAGATTATTGAACAGATGGTGGAAGCTTGATATTGACCTGATTCATTCCAAGAAAACTTACTCAGGCTTGTCTAGAGCAAGGCTAACTTAAGATCTCTTCAGTTGCTTCAGCTTTTGTCATTTAAGATTGTTCTGAAGCTCGGTTTAATATAAACAAATTCAGTTTTTCCTTTGCAATCCCCTTCCTTGTTAATGGAACTCTCTCTTTGTATCAGTCAGGGTTTATTATTTTAACAATTAAGAAAAATACATTAGGAGACCATTTCTAACTTGTATCAAATCTAATTTAAATGTTTGAGATGCCAAATAATTTTTCTATGCCTGACTAAAGGCATAGCATCTTTCCAGTCAGGGTTTATAGAACACACCCCCGCAGCAGAGCAGTGCAAACTCTGCTGTTACTTCTGTTACTTCACTGAAATGCTCTCTCACCCTCTACTGCTGAGAGTACCTATGCTGCAGGTACTTAGAATCATGGGTTAGATTTTAGTGTTTAGTGGCCTTGGATAGATTTTCTTTTATATCCACGCACTAGTTATAAACTTTGCCATTTTCCTTAGCAATCAATTCATCTTCACTATTTATTACTCTGTAGCAATTGGCTTTCCCACTGCTTTGTACTAGTTTAATTTCACACACCTTTAATCTTACACTGGTGGGTATGTGAGTAACTGATTCCTGTTTGTTCTCCCTATATCATTTCCAGTTTTATAAACCCCTGTCATAGCCCATGTAGGTCTTTACTGCAAGTCATAAAAGTAGCATTTCAAAATTTAACAGTTCCAATAGACTAAGATTTATAGGAGCTCTTTTAACAGCCAGGGCTAGAGTGCTGAGAAACATGATTCATGTCATCGTTTGGCATTTTGAACAGTGCCAAAGCTGTCATTTAAGATAAGTCTTTTAAAAATATGTAGACTAGAGATAAATACCAACACCCCTTTAGATTAATGAAAAGCAGTTCTATGTTGAAGTAAATGCAGAAATCGGGATAGAAAGTTACAGTCTTGAAAAACTGACTAGCCTTACTTTTTAAATCATAATAATTTAAGGGTTTTTTTCAAAAACCACTTTTTTCTTGCCTTCTTTATAGACATTTATTTCCATTTGAATGTTCTGTTGAAGCCCAAGTGGTAGTAGTAACATAATTATATAGTCCCATGAAACTAAAGTGTTAAATGCAGCTAGAACAACCCTCAAAGGCAATACAGCTCCCCAGGTATTTGATCTTAATACTCTGCATCATTTTCATAAGAAAGATATTTCAGGTAAAATACTGATACTTTCCTTAATTCTTTGGCCATTCAATTAGGTGGGGTTTATAGTCTTTTTGAGTGAGACAGCCAGTCAGGGGAAGCTAGTACTCTAAAAAAGGAATAAATTTGTTTTTCCTTGGTATGCCTTCACTTAGCATGCCATGAGTGTTATAGACTTTTGGGGTTTGGTTTTGGTGGGTTTTTTTGTTGTTTTTTTTTTTTTCCCCATTAGCTCTGTTCTGCCTTTGTTTGATTTTAATAGAAAGACCTGCGGTTAATATTTTCCAGTATAAGGCAGAACACCAGACATTGTAAAAGGGGAAAAAATTTTTATGCCATCCAGGTGCTACCAAACTGAAAATTAAAATACAGAATTAATACCTGGCAAGCCAACAGAACCCAGAGCTCCACATCAGTAATTACACCACACCCACTTTGCAAGAGGTTTCAGTTAGCTACAAATAATGATTTAGAAAACCTGAGCCACAAACAGTAAGTCTATCCAAACAATGCTCCCAGTATGGCAATCCCAGAGGCCTCTAAGGTTTGTTGCTGGTGTGCCAAGCAGCAAATAGATTCTTCAGCTGCCTTTCAGGAGATGCTGCAGGAAGCATGTGAAACTTCCAAGGCAATGCAGTACTGCGACAGTTAGAAATTCACAGCACTGCCAGCTCTGCAGTGAGTCACTGGGCAGTCAGTCTGGCTGCAGTGGGAACAAAAGCTGACACGTATGTGCATCTGCAGAACTAAATAGCACTGTGCCTTGGTTACCTGGCTGAATAAACAAGAGCCTAGGCTTGAGCTCCCAGCCTTTCAAATGCAGTTTGTACTTCACTGCCTTTGTGAAGCATGGCCTTTTGACTCTCTGGAACATTAGTTTCAGCTGTGAGCCAGTTAAGATGCAATCCACAAATTGTCCATACTGCTGAATGGAAAAAAAGCCAAGTAGAAGATTTAGTTTTCAGGTCACAGGACTAGTACTGTTAGAGTAAACTACATTGCACATAACCTTATCAAATAATTATTCTTGAACACATTTATGCATACTGCTTTAAGTATTGGGCATAGCACAGGTATAGTACAAGCTATAACCAGTTTAAAATAGCATTTGTTTTCAGACAAAGAGCTGTGTAAACTCTCCTACTGCTACTCCCTCAAGTCCTCTCAGGAGCATTACCAGGCCCTAAATTACTTCTTGCATCTGAGTGGAAATCACACCAAGTAGTGCAAAATCTGTAAAAGGATGACCAACATGATCATTTGGAGTACCTGTCAAGTATTACCCATTCCCAAAAGTAAGAATGCCATCTGATTGTGAGGTCATGAATATTCCTTTATAAGATAAGAAGCAAAAGGTAGAGCTAAGGCTATCAGCAGAAACGGGTATTAAAAAGCTCCATGCTTGAATTCCTCATTTGATTCTTTGATGCTCTGGTGCAGAGATTTCATGCAGCACAGAAACCAAATAAGAATTTTTAATGCATTTATTTTCTTTCATTGCTTGAAGTAAAAAGGAATTAAACTTGTCATCACAATGACTTCTTTCCTCTAACATCTTGTGGTAAAGGCTGTAGTTATAGCAGAGCTTTAACAATTAACCAGGTGGTATTAGAAGTAATAGAGAGATAGGATCAGTTGGGTAGGGAAATATCAGTACTCCTCACTAAGAGGGAAAAACAGCATAACTTCAGTTACAGGTCAGACTAGTAATAGGTAGGCACAAAACCCAAACAGTCACAGGAAATGCTACTTTTATCCATGTAGCTTACTCTAGGGCCCAGACAGAATAAGAAGATGGGAGAGGAGGCAAAAGACAAGTTCTGTCTGTCCATTCACCCCACCCTTTTTTAAGGAAAACCAGATGTTTGTTTTGTTGTTTTTTTGTTGTTGTTTCCCCATTTTCTTCACTGATGCTATCATTTTATTTGCAAATCATTCAAGATTAGCAATATCATATTTCTTCTTCTCACACAGTAATAATAGCCTTCCTAGGCATGGAGAAAAAGAAATACATATTTTTGAGCTATCCACCTCATCTAGATCAGTCTGTTACCATTATTCCTAAGGCCGCTCAGCACAGACCTAATTTTATCATCTTAGTTCTGTAAAGAGACTTCCAGGGATAGTATCACCTGTAAATCATAGAAGTCATCAGTAGGAAGTCAGAAAACAGGGCACACCACTAAAATCTTCTGTTTTACCTTTCAGATCCATATCTCCAGCTCAGGGTCTCTATAATGGACTCAAAAATCTCAAGAGAAAAAGGGGAGGAGAGGGAAGCATCACATCAACTCAGTGCTTTAGTTTTAGTCCTCAATCATGAGATTAAGATCTGAGGAACTGCCTTGAAAGTTTAAAACAGCACTTGACTTCATACACCTGTAACTATATTCCTTTACATTTTGAAAAAAACAAATCCAGCTGATAGAAAAGGATCTTGTACTTATGTCCAGATCATATGACTATGAGATAACAGGGACAGGCTTCACAGACCTGCAGAGTTTAAGGACAGGGCAGCAATAACTGTCATGCTGTAACAGCAGTTGTGCACATACATTGCCATCTCAAGTTTTTTTGCTACTGTGTAAAGATGGAACACAAGAAGTCTCAAAAGTGCAATTCTATGAAATTTATTATTTAAATAGTGGATGTGCCAGTTATAAAAAGGTGTCTTTGGTGTTAAATATTTAATTCCATTTTAATTGTGTACTCAGTCTTCATAGTGTCATTCTTGCCCTTTTAGAGTGAACAGCAACTTACAAAATATGCAAGAGAATAGTAATCAAATCTTAGATTTATACAAAAAAAAAGTTGGTATTCCCCCACCCCTCTTCTGCCCCAATATTTGCAATTATCTTTTCTTAGAGAGGGACTTCCTTGTTCCATGCCCTAAAGGTAAAAAAAAAAAAAAAAAAGTTAAGGAATGTATATATTCCACCTCAAAGTTATGTTAATTTGCTTCTGAAAAAAGACTAGATATTAGTGATTGTCTTTTCCTATTGCAGGCACAATGGTTGACATTAGAATCATGTACTCAACTTCCCAGCTAGTATAAAATGTGCATGAGTGGTTTTGGACTTCAGAATATCCCAGCATAACAGATAAGAGTCCCATGAGAAGCTCATATCACATTCTCAGTGTGCTCATATAACTGCATTGTTGAATGTACCCAAGAAACATCAGCTATTTCTGGGGAAAATACAAGGAGTGTTTTGGGATTATGCAAGTCTCCTGTAGCCTTCAGGGCTGATGCAAATTTTCACTAGTAAGATACTTCAGCCTAAGTTTGTTTCCAACCTTCCTTACATTTCCAAGATCAAAGTCTAAGCCTCTGTCTATTTTATGAGAGAGAGAGAGAGAGAGAGAGAGACACACTATCTTTTACTCATGTATTTCCTGACAGAATATTTGGGTTCATTTTTCTACACTAACTTACTCTTTTCCAGAAAGAAAACTGATTTTACAGATAGCTTCTTGTATCTACTGACCCTTTTTAATTTATAACCTTTTCAGACTCACAAATGCACAAAAGCATATTTGTTGCTGACTCAAGTTCATTTTGATTTTTCCCTCCACTGTTTTTCCCCATCTTCCTCCAAAATAGCCAGAAGTTCCTAATCCATTAAGTTGGAGATCTTAAGAATTATCTATATGCATTTGTGTTGTATCAAATTGCAAATCATTTGGGCTGAGGCAGATGAGCAACTTAAATAAAAGCATGTACTGCAAAGTGACACAGGACCCAGCACTTTAAAGAGACAGTACAGCAGTCTGAAGAGCAACTAGACTAAACCAGCAGGTTTTGGTGTGGGTTTCCTCCCCCATCCTTACATTAAACAAAGAAGGAACCTAACCTGGTCAAAGCTACACTGCATTCATAGCAAGGTGATCAAATGCTTAAAGTTCAGCTTCCCCCTCACCTTTTCTGCATATTTCACAAACTATCCAACATCCCTGCAGTTCAAACCAAGAAAGATTAGTCCCAAAGATAGAAAAAAATACTTGTAACAGTCATTTTTGTAGCTTGTCACTGTATACCAACCTTTGTGTACACTGTGTTTAGGCAGCTCCCACATTTCTACTTCTTCCACCTCATGTCTCATGTCTCTGCGTTTTGAAGGTGGCTTGCCCATTCTTTTCTTCTTTGCTTTAACCAAAGGTGGGCACACTAAATAACAAGATACAAGTGGTGTTATTTCTCCAATGCATAGTCACAAGGCAAATTTAACCATGACTTTCACCAGCTGGTCTGTGGTGTTCCTCCCTCCCTTTTTTCTACCCGTTTTAAGTAGAAGTTAAAATTGACACTACACATGCCAAGCAAGTCTTACACATCTACAGCATTTAATCACTGTCTAACCATAATTCTGGATGCATTGTATTTTGAGTCATAATTTGGATAGGTGTTAACGTGGTAAAAAAGGAACCTAGTACATTGGATAATTCTGCCTTAGTTCACTTTTCAAGTGTTCAAGACTAGTTGGTGCTGTCCAAGTGACCCAATTCACCAACTGTCTTTAAAAAACTTCAGACCTGTGAAGTTATGCACTACAAGTACACTGCTCAAGCAGTCAAATTTAGTGCATGATATTACTGCTAAAGCCATATATCTTGTTTAGATAAACCTCCTTACTCGTGAGGCACTTTAACTTGAAAAAGCAAATACTAATATAGGAAACACTTTTAAAGAGAATGTAATTTTAATAGCATTTCTGCAGCATCCACTGGCACAAACAGTATTCAGAAAACAGTTCAGTTCCTGCTTCCTAACACTGAATGTGATAACTTCTTCCAACTACCTGGGCTAGAAAAAGAGGAAGAGTAAGCAAGAAACAGACCAAACATCCTCAGTTTGCTGCACCATCTCTGGATTCAAAGATGCAGAAGAGACGTGCTGGAAGTTAAAGGTAACTTACAGTTATTCTAGAACTATTACCAATATTTTTATACGATGTAGTGGAGCCAGGAACAATGCTGCTAAAGTAAAACGTTTTCAACTCTTACAGAGCATACTAGCATTAAAAAACAAAATCCTGCAACACTGAACTCTGCATATAGAAAGCCTCCAATGAAAGAGGCAAATAATCCCAAACCCCAATAGGCTCAAGCAGGAAAGCAACACAAAGAAAGAACTAAGGAAAACACTCTCTGCTTGGTTGTTGATATATGAAAGCTGATGTATATTATCAGTGAACTGAAGACAAGCAAATCATCTGTTCTGAAGATAGCCTCACACCCATTATTTGATAGGCTGATCCTGAGATACTTGAAACACATGACCCAGGAGAGTGGCAATACCAACACTACAGCAAATTCTGTAGCTGTTCCAGCAGCACCTACATTCGAACACCTTTGAAAAGCATCAAAACCAGATCTGAACTCCAAGTAAGACATTAACTATAAAGAAGAAAAAAAACCAAAACATTCTGCTTGGTGAGCTAAGACACTATCTAAGCTATTACTTGGTTAAAATGACTGTTTTCTTCATCTTTTCCTTAACTAGATCACAATGATTTGCACTCCATTATTCTTCAACAGTGTCAGGGCAACAGTTGGTCCATGCTAGTTTTTCTGAGTGTTGGCATACGAAGCTACTGCATAGAACTCCCTTCATGTTTTACTGATCAAAATTAGGAGCTACCACTGCACATGCTACCAAGAGTAGCATTATCTGTATAAAGAATTAATATTACAGTTTATGGCAGTAACAACTTTATACAAATAAAGGCTTTGCTTTGGCCACATCAAAGCATTTAATGCTTTGATTTTCTATAAAATTACCTTAAAAACATCCCCAGAAGTATCTCTGATGCATCCTTATTACCCTGTTTCAGTTTGAGAAGGCTATAAATATATCCAAGGTATATTTATACACTGACTGACAGGCATTTTATAAATAGCAAAGCAACAAGGATTAGTTTTATTGTTTTCAAATCTTATGCAACTATCACATGCTTGCTATTTGTATCATATCCTTCTGGATGTTCCTTAGGAACAAAAACACACAGAGAAAGCTGTACCTTGTTCTTTGCTCCTTGCTGGAGGTGAGAAACTACCACGTATTTGGCTGGTAAATCTGGGCTTAGCACCGCTTCTAATCCAGTACTCTTCAGGTGGTATCCCCATGTTCTCTCTTAACAGCCTTCCTAATTAAAATTTAAAAAAAATAAAATTAAGGTCAGTATTTAGTCTTGGTAATGCTAACACAAGCCAGAATGCAAAGCCAGCTACTGGATCTGATTGTAGGAATCTGTTGAAATATAAACAGTTTTCTGGAGATTACACTTAAAAATTACAAGACACATTAAGTGTACAGATTTTGAACAAAGAAAATAAAGTTTAAGAACACTAAGCCTGTAAGTAAATCACCCTGTTTTGGTTGTTTATTACAATGCAAGACACTACTAAACAGCAGCCACCTGCTGAAGTGACCATACAACCAGTTGCAAACTGATAATTCTTCTTATTCTCAGTATACATTAATCCAATTTCTAAGAGGATCTACCTTGAAATAAATAAGATGTCCTTTCCCAGGTCAAATTTAATAATGTTTCACACCAATTTTCTGAAAGTACAAAACTGTTTTTGCTAAGAAAGCAGCAGCTACAATTTAAAAAAAAAATGTTTGACTCCTCAACTGCAGGAAAGTTACACATGGTAGGTCCACTAGATTGTAATTAATTCTGTTTAATGCACCCAGCATTAGTCTGTGATAGGAGAGTCAGACTGTATAAACTTAAATGCAGAGCTTCTAAGATATTAAGAAACAGTAAATACATAATCCAAATTATCTTAAGCTTAACAAGTTAATAAATTGCCACAAATGTCAGACAGTTAAATGTATCAAATCTAACATAAAGGCAAGCTTCTGCATTATTCTCTGCTGGCTGTAAAAATGCAGAGTCCTTATGCAATAGCTAAAAAGTTGCAGCAAACTTCCCTCTGTTTCAGAAAAAAAATATTCTGCAGGACTTCTGGCTCTTTGCCAAATTTGAAGCTACAACATGCTCTAATCTTCACACTAGTTTAAGCTACAATATGAAACTGCAATTAGGTGTTCTTTGTGCATGCTACTAATCAGCACTTGGTCCTTAGCAATTTACTCACCTCTCAAGAATTTCCGTAGCATTCGCTGGTGTTCGAGTCCTTCTCTTCTTGTCATAGGCCTCTTTCTTCCATAATACCCATAGTCACTGTATACAACTTCATCTTGTTCTCTCTTCTTTGGCTTGTAAACTACACCAATGTTTTCAACAAGCCCACTCCTAGTTTTTATTTTCTCTTGAGCAGGCCAGCTAATTAATTGTGCTGGTACAGCATTTGTAGGTGGTTTCCAAAGCACTCTCTGACCGACTTGGTAGAAATTTCCTTTACTTGGCCTCAAGATGCCATATGGAGGGGCTTCTTGAAAGAAATACTCAATTTCATCCATGTCATCATCCTCGTCCTCCTCATACTCATCCTCTCCATCTTCATCTTCCTCTTCTCCCTTCACAGAATATTCTTCAGAGTCCTCAACTTCTGACAAACTCTTAGTTGCTTTTTTGTTGGGAGAATTGACTTCTTTCCTACTAGAGGACCTAGAAAGGGCTCCCAGCTTTCTACCTTTACTGGAAGTCTCCTTGATCTTTGTGTTTGAAGAGTTGACATCTTGGTCATTCAGGCTGTTCACCTGCTCCTTTCCTACCACTTCATCTATGTTAGGGGATCCACCACTTTTAATTTGGTCTAAGCCCTCTGTACTTTTCTGAAGAGTGTACATGCTTTTCTGAAGCACATAGTCAGGCACAAAATAAGACACTGGGGCATTATCAGTTGATGAACCTTCCTCTCCAGAGGACATGTCATCAGAAGACAGACTGATTACACTTCGACGCTTCCTTTGTGGCAAACAAGCATTGTAGTTTGTGTCCATACTGTCCAAACAAGCCAGCCAGCTGCTAGAGGGAGCAAACCTCTCAATTGATTTGTCACACCAAATACTTTTTTCTGTCTGACTTTCATTGGTTGCACTGTGGCTTAAATTCAGCTTTTTCTGCTGAAAGTCACTCATTACCTCCATATTAGATGGAAGTAGTCCTGCTTGTTGAATAAAGCCAGGCTCTTCTTGAGAAGCTTTTGATCCTGCAGACCTTTTAGTGCTAGATTTCTTAGCTATTACCACTGGTTGATCTACACCAACAGATCTTGCCAACTCTGTGATTTGCACTGCCATGGTTTCACCTGGGGGGGATTTTGCCATCTTTTCTGCATCCAGCTTCACTTCATTATTTTGCACATCTTTCTCTTGCACAGCTTCAGCACCCTGTTTGGAGGTGACAACAGCTTTTCTCTCATCTAAGGAAGCTCCTGGCAGCATATTCTCCCCTTCATGAGGGCCATATATCATGCCTTCACACGAGCTAACAGAAAACAAGTCGTGTGGCACTATGTTCTCTGGAACTGGTTTACCACTTGCCACATCATACAGTGGGATTGTTTCTTTAAAGGATTTCCACAGCTGAATAGCTGGAGAGCCATTTCCATATTCTATCCTCACTTCTTCCTTCTCAAAGGCATAGCTTCCAGTAGGAAGATTTCTATACTGTGTAGAACTGGCAGGGTTCTTATTATGAAACTCTCTGTCTACCACAATAGAAGAGCCAAACAAATTTTGTTTCTCTGAAGTATTTTCAGTCTCTGTACCTATACCAGGAGAAACACAGGCTATATTTCCTGCATCACAACCTTTCGTTTCTGTACGGATATCTTGATGCCTTTTTTGCTTGCTTTCAGGCTGTCTAGGATCAGTCTGTGTTTCTTTTGTCTCCATTTTCTTCCCAGGGCTATTATGATGTCTAAATCTTGTTGCATGATAAAACATAGGGGAAGGTGGGGCAGCATTAAAATAAGGCCTTCTGTTAATTCTTGCATGCACTGGATGCTGTGGGACAAAAAATCGAGGGTACTCATGGAGCGCAACAGAATAAAATGGAAAATACGGATTTCCACTTCGGAAGCCTAGACATTGGTGACAAAAAGAACAGACAAATATATTTCTGAAATTAGTCCTCCTGAATCATATTTACTTGCATAGACAGGGACAGCTACAAGATCAGACACATCTGTAAATAAAACATGCCACCTTTCAATGCTTAGTAGCAAATCTGGTGCAAAAACAGAGTTCTTCATTAGGGAATAGTTTATCTCAACATCTACACTTTAACCAGGGCTTGTTTTCATCCCTTGGAACATTCACCAAGTTGTTTTCTGTGCTTTTTTTGGCTATTTCACAGACTATTACAGAGCATGGATTTTGAAAAAGACAGCTCCAAATACAAGTTCACATAAGTATAGCACTTACAAGGTCTATTTAACAATATCTTTCTTATTTTTTTAAGTTTACATTTATCCATACCTATCATGCATGCACATGTGGAATTCATATATACCCACACATATTAATTCCTAAGTATATTCTGGAGCTCTGTATCTGCAGGATGACCATTAATTAATATTTTGCTTAGCTTCCATTCTCCAGAAGCACCCACAAGCTACATATTTAAGGCAGAATTAATGTAGTGCTAGACTGTCAAAAATCTGATTTATTAAGTATTAGTTAAACTCCCAAGAGGCTCATTAACACAGATACTGCAAGAGTGGAGGAAAGAAGCATGTAACTACGTAACCAAAGATCCCACAGAGAGCTGCTGTTTACCTTACCTGGAGCAGGTACGCAGTATGGACTGTACGCATAACTGAGGTACCATGGATTTGGATAAGGCTGTTGAGCTGATGGCTGTGCATAAATAAAGGGTCCTGGGTGGTTTGTGGAATATGATCCACTTTCTGAAGTTGAAGCAGTATTCATTTTTCTTTAAACACTGAAAGAGAGAAGTAATCATTTATCAACCACTTAAGAACTACGTGACTTAATTATTTTTATGCTCTGTCAGAATTTAGCAGACATTCCTCTCCCTGCCCAGAGAAAACATATCCTTCTAAAAGAAAGCTGCTGTCTTCCAAACAGCAGGTAACAAACTGACATGCTATCAAGGTCAAATATTTCAGTTGGGCTTTGCTAAGCAAGCTTTTGTACACAGCTCTCGATATTAGTCCTTCAAGGCAACCTTGTAACATGCTCTAAAGCTACAGAGCTTTAGTAGTCTTAGATGCATACATCTCTGTAAGTAGTATCCCAGCCAATTAAATAAAAAAGCCTTCAGTGCATTAGCCTTAAGCAAGAGGCCACACACACAAAGGAAAAACAGAAGCAGCTTCACACAATCAGACATTTAATGCTTCATGCAGAAAAAACTTCTTAATTTCTTAATGCTAATGCATGTGTTGTTACACAGTACAATAAGAACTCCATTAATTCAGGATTTGTACTTTATACTATACTTAAGAACGACAGCTAACTAACATAGTAAACCAAGTATTTCAGTGACACCCTGCTTCCTACGCTTAAACCAAATGATAGGTAGCAAAAACAACCCCACCAAAATCCTTATGTGTAAGTTTGCATTCAGAGCCATATAAAATTCACAAGACAGAACTTCCTCCCACACTTGGATGTCTCCTCAGTTAACTAATACTTGCAAGCAATACAACACTATCGCACAGAACTTAAAAGCAAGACTATAAGAAATCAGAGGACTCTTTAACTCTTTAGAAGATTCAAGCACTTCAAAGTTACAAAAGAACCAAAATTATTTTGAGACCTGTTACAAATTAGCACACGGTTCAGCCTAGAGTTTCAGAATGCCTTAGGAATGCTGGAGCCCTCTTCAGCTTCCATCTAGGGTGGCCTGTGCAGCTCTTGAAAGCACCAAAAAGCCTACAGACTCCCTCAGGCCAAAAAATTACTTTGACCTTTGAGAAGGAGGGCAGAGAAGGGAAAAAACCCCACCAAAACAAAACAAACCACCAAACAAAACCCCCTACAAGAACTAAATATTCCTCCCCCCGCCCTTGAAGCCCCAAAACCTAAAGTCCAATGCTGCTGCTGCTGCTGCTGCTGCTGCTGCTGCTGCTGCTGCTGCTTACATCCCAGAAGAAAACTAACCAGGTCCTCTTTATGGCAGGCAGCTGCTACTTGTCCACTCCTCCTCCCACCTGAGGCTCATTTAACAGTGATGCAGGGAACGTTTTTCCATCATTGTGTGGGAGGAAAATCAAAACACAAGGATAGGAATAGTTGTAAAAGCCTTCAGCTGTTGTACAGAAAGCTGGCAGTTTCATCCTGCAGATGTTTAAGCTGCATCTCTAAGTAAATCTGGTATTTCCCTTTTATGATGTTGGAAATTTTTTTTTTTTTGGAAAAAAAGGGAAACATTCCCAATCTTTTGATTCAAACTGCAGTTAAAAACACTTCTTTCAGAGAAAAAAAAAGAAACCACCAGGAGACACAAGGCCAAGTTTACATTTATTTTTAGGGCTTACCAGTTGTTCAGTACTGAGTAAAGGGAGCAATGCTCTTCCATCCTAACATGGCTGAGGGGGCTGACAAATGTAATGTTATTTCCACATGAACAGAAAAAGTATTTCTTCCCATACAGTGTACTCCATCATATGTCATGGGAATTTATGAAATGTGAAGCTGCAATTTGACTCAACCCTGCCTTTTTACAGGAGGTGAGACTCTGAGTTGCTGCTCTGGAATTGCACATCTCCAAATGAGAGACTACTAGTACAGGGGCAGGTGGAAGGACAGGAAAACACTGTACCTGTGCTATGCAGGCTGGTGAGTGGTTAGGGGAAAACAAGGGGGTATGGATGCTTAGAGATTGTTTGTATTCCTGTGTTGGGAAGTTCCCAAAATCGATGTGTTTTTTCTTTCTATAACACTCAGATTAACCAAGTCCTTTGTACCAAAACACAAACTATAAAATGTTTGGGAAGGGTTAGTGATCCATTCCTTGCAGACCTTCCCAGCCAAAGCTTGTCCTTTCCACTGACAGCAGCTCTTGCACTTTGTATGACAGGACAGTAAGCAATGGGTACAAAATGAGATGGGGAATTTAATTTAGATATTAGTAAGAAATTCTTGATTGTGAGGGTGGTGAGGCACTGGAGCAGGCTGCCCAAGGACATTGTTGAATGCCCTGGAAGTGCTCAAGGCCAGGTCAGATGGGGCTTTGAGCAACCTGACCTAATGGGAAGTGTCCATGCCTGTGGCAGTGGGGCAGAACTTGATGGTCCTTAAGGTCCCTTCTAACCCTTAACATTTTATGACTCTGTGACTTGTCTGGTATGTTTTTAATCCCCAGCTCTGCCCTGCATTCATCATACTTTCAACTCTTTGAAGTGCACCTCCCAGCCTCTCTATGGGTGGATGGACCCAAAGAAAAATAAAGATAATAAGTAACACTAGATGGCTTTTAAAAAGGTACATGTTCTCAGGATTTTCCTTTCTCTCATACCTCCCTTCAGCCTCCTGTGCCCCTGTCAATTCCTTCCATCCCAGAGTAAGCTCTAGTCCCCACAAATTCCCCCACAGGTGAACTTTGCTTTTAGGGCAGCAAACCCACACTTGGCCAAAGGACATTCCAGGCCGCCTGAAGGACCAAAGGCAGGTCCCAGGGGGAGAGGACCCAGCTGGGTGTTAACCCTGAAGCCCACAGGCCTCCAGGTTGCAGCAAGTCCTGTGAGGAGCTGGTGTTGTTAGAGAAAGAGAAAAGAGGCTCAGGGCGGACTTTATGGCTCTCTACAGGTACCAGCGACAGGGTGAGAGGAAACGGTACCAAGTTTCGCCAGGGGACATTCAGGTTGGACATCAGGGGGAATTTCTTCACAGAAGGAGTGATTAGACATTGGAATGGGCTGCCCGGGGAGGTGGTGGAGTCACCGTCCCGTCCCGGGAGGTGTGTAATGGAAGACTGGATGTGTCGCTCAGTGCCAGGCTCGGCTTGGCAGTGCGGTGTCCGGTCGCAGCCGGTGATCCCCGAGGCCTTTCCCGAGGCGCAGGATTCGGTGGCTCAGGGGCCGCTCCCCCCGGCAGAGGGCGCGGGGGCCCCGCTCCCCCCGCGGGCGGCGCCGCTGCGGGGCCGCGCGGGCAGGGGGCGCTCGCGGCCGGGAGCAGGGACAGGAAACCGGGGGCGGGCCCGGCCGCCCCCCCGCGCCGCCGCGCCTCGCGCCCCGCATGCGCAGACGGGGCGGGCGCGGCGCTCCGTAACGGCGGGCGGGTGAGGAGGAGGAGGGGGAGGAAGAGGTGGGGGGGGCGGCGGCGGCAACAGCAGCAGCCGCGCCTGCGCGCCCAGGGGCCGCCACCGCCTCCGCAGCCTGGGAGAGAGACCGGATCCGCCGCCGCATCCTCTTCCTCCCCCACCGCTTCCCCGCGGCCGCCCGTGGTCGGGACGGCCAGGCACGAGAGGAAGCGGCGGTCGGAGGTTTGTCCGGAGCGGAGGGTGGGGGGGCAAGGATGGCGTTGGTGGCGGCGCTCCCGCGCTCGCGTCCCGCCGCGCTGCGGCCGTCGGGCCCTTTCCCGTCCCCGCGGGGGGAGCGGCCGCCCCGAGGAGGCCTCGGTCCCGGGGGCGCCCGCGGGGGCTCTGCGGCAGCCGCTCCCCCCGCCCGGGCGGGCGCGGCTCCCGCCCGCCCCCTCCCACCGCGGCCGCTCCCGCTCGGCGGCCGCGGCCCCGGGCCCGCCGGGCACCGCCGGAGGTGGCAGCGGGGGCCGTGTCCGCGCCCTCGGGCAGGGCCGGCTCCCGGCAGACCCGAGAGGAGGAGAGGCCGTCGGGATCGTTCCTAAGCCCGGAGTGCGGTGGTGCTGGAGAAGCGGGAAGGTGCCCGCTTCCTCCTGGGGGAAGCAGGAAAGGGATGAGGGCTGTGGAGGGACGGGACGGCGCGCCTGAGCATCGGGGAGAGGGGAGAAATGTGTTTCATTGCCCCTAGTCCAGCATCGCCGCGTCCCGCGGGCAGGAGGGGGCTGTGATGGGGGGTCGGGGTGTGCGGGGCTCCCCTTGCGCTGAGCAGGTGGGGATGCCTCAAACCTGGGTGTTTGTGTTGGCAGCGCTCGCAGGGACACGCACTGTGAAGTCTTGGGGGAGAACAGCGGTGGAGTGGCAGTGCAGGTCCTTGTAGCTGCCCCTGCGTTCCCTACTGATCCATCTAGTTGGGCATATGTACGCCATGGGTACCTGCAGTGACCGGGGTGGCTGCCGTGCTCGGATGTAGCTTTAAAGAGTCACATAATTCTTAGTAAGCTTTTCCGGACTAAATAAACACATAGTATCGCTTTGACGTTAGTCACATTTTCCCGGCGTTCACCATTATTTCTGCTGTGAAACGGGATACATACCTGCTGCTTTTGAAATAACTTTAATTATGATTTAGAAATGGATTTGTGCTGTACTTAGCATGTGCATTTTTAGAGGTTTTATTGCAAAGCCCCAGCTTGGCTTTTCTGTATTATGTACATCTACTTTGTGATCATAATGGGCCTGAAAAGCTGTGTGCTGTTGTGAGCTCACCTAGGGCTGTAGCTACATGAATTTTGTTCAGATGATGTATTTTAGAGATTATTAAAATGCACACTGAGTATAGTTCTGTTTCTCAGAAATCTATCTGGAGGAATAGGTAGTTTTAGTATTTAGTATTTAATTTAATTGCATTAAATAGTAAATGTACACATTAAGTAGTCTCACAATTTGAGTATAGGTGTCACACCTTTTTCCAAATTGTTTTTGTGTGTCGAGTAGAGGGGACCCTTTGCACTCAAAGATGTATAAGCAGCATCTTTCATGAACAGTCCAAAGAGGAAGAAAAGATGTTGCTGCTTATTTAATATTTTTGACTGCATTTTAGACAGATGGTTGTTGTTGGTTTTTTTCTTTGCTGAAGCAGGCTTTTTTGTTTTGGTCATGTGATTATGAAACAGACCAGAATTGGTGCAAACCCTAAAATTTCTCTCTCTTAGTTTACTGACTGTTGTGCTTTAAGAATAAATTTTATATGTATGAGTATGATATCCATTATAATACTTAACCTTTCAGGAACTAACTTACAATTAATTAAGCTACATTAATGACTAATTAATTTCTTAATGTAGAAATGCTTGAATTTATAGTTAAGTGTCATATAGTGAATGTTCAAGAAAATTACATTTACTTTTAACCTGGAATTTAAGTTGTTAAATACAACAGACTAGCTTCATTAATGTACTATAGTTCAGAGAAAAAAAAAATTGTTTATATAGGATATGTGGCTGGATCTTACTGGAGACATCCATGGCCCACTTTTCTTCAAAGGTTAATTTTCCAAAACAGGTCAAGTCTTCCACAAAACAGGAACACCCTTGGGGGTGGAAACTACCTGTGCTCGGCATAGAAGTCCAGTTGCCAATTGAAGCTGTTGGTTTATCATGTCATAAATGCTAATTTTCTTTCTGAGCAGGTATTTCCTTTAGTGTATAACTTCCTTTAGGAGCAGAAAAACAGGAGTGCATTGTGACCAAGCATGTTTTTAACATGGAGTCTGACACTTCTAGTCTCTACTTTCTGTGCAGCTTCAGAAAACTCACCTACCTCAAAGTTGTAACTCACCTCCCAAGAATAATATGTATGGAAAATAGTAGTAGTTTCCAAGTGAATAGTCATTCTCAAGATAACATTGTAGGATTAAACCTTGTTTTTAGTGAAATTTCACATTGTTGCCCTATTAGAATCTTCTTGATGTCCTCAGTTTTCTGGACTACTGTGCTATCAAAGACACCTTTGATGGCTTTAGAAGAGAGGAAAACTTCCAAGTCTGGAACTGCTTCATCAATTACCTATTTCTTTCTCAGTGCCAAGGATGCAAATTTGATACATTACTAAAGAATCTGGACCTTCCAACTCCTTTTTTCTTCTTTCTTTCCTATCTTTGAGATCTATTGGCTAGGTGTGTCGATTTACATAATTGATTCTAATCAGTTTTAGTACTCACATTCCCCCTTGCTATTAGCTGGTATGTTAAGTTTGAAACTGGCTGGCTTGTAACTCAGAATATCCCTCATAGTAACCCAAGTGTTGAAGTGCCTGAGCTGGGCACTGTGTTGCTAGCTGGGAGGATTGCTATCTGCACACACCAAGGCTTGTGTAGTTTGGCTTAGGGTTGTTCAGGTCTAAATTCTGACCTTTTATTATGTTAAAAATAGTGAATGACTCACTTCTTTAGATGTGTTTTTACTTGTGATTTGTATGAAGCTGCCCTTGGATTTGGATGGAAATAGGATTTTGATTAAAAGTGCACAAAGGTAGTATTTAAAGTTTGGGTTTTGTTTGTTTGGGTTTTGTTTGTTTTTGTTTTTTTTTTTAATTAGTTAAAACTAGATTAAATAAGTTGAATATCCAGGGAGATAGGTTTGGGTTGTTGGGGTTTTTTTTGTTTGTTTGTTTTTTTCTAAATTTTCTTCCAGATGTATGGAAAATGAAGTGTGTTTTTTAAAGTGTGAATTGGAGTTAGTAAAGTTAGAATTTAAGAAGTATTTGATGGCTGAAGATGCAGATGGGAACCTGTAACACTTTCATAGATCTTTTACATGTTTCCCACCATTTTATGGAAAGTTAGGCATCTAATCTGACAGACTAATTAATGGGATTTTCAGAAGGAATCAGAATCTCTTAAAAAACCCCAGACAAAAGATGCCTATATATCTTTCTCCCCTCTTATAATTTGGGTGGAAAATAAATTAATTTTTTAATAAGTCCAGTTGAAGAATATTATGTCTGTGTATGTTATATGTTTCCCTACCAAACTGGAAATAGTCAATATACCTGTTCACTGTTACACACTGTTATGCCACTGCCATGTATGTAGTGCAGTATGTATCTCTATCAATCTTTGCCTGACCTCAGAAAATAAACAGATTCAAGGAAGGCAATTAATAGCCTATCCCATAACTCATTAACATTTGATGACTAATTTTCTGAATGGTCTCATTCAGATTTGAAGTACATGAACAAGTGTTAACAAGCCACCTCATTAAAATTACTTAAGCAAAAAGGAATAATTACTTAAAAACAAACCCTCTTATCAAGGTGTTACTTAATGTTGCTCTCCAGCTTGATAGGGAGGTACTTTATATCACCTGGTGATTACATGGTTTCATTTGCAATGGTGCACCCTGTGGCCTTCCAGCAGCTACTTGCCAGTCCTGTTTTGGATAGCTGGCTTCCAAGAAACAACCCAGAACAAAATGGTCACTCCAGTGACATCGTTGAAGGGGAAGGTCTCATTCCTAGAACTTGTATTCAGGGATTATTTTTATTCTATCAGAATTTCAGTTCAGGATATAAAGCTAACTTTAGCCATAGATCTTTTAATCCATAAATGAGAAATGTCCACTGCTCCATAGTCATTGGGACTCAGCAGACAGTAGTGCATCTGTAGACGTATCCTCAAGTCCACAGTTTTTCATTTATGTATATAAAGATATACATGACTGTATGCCAAGCAGGCACAGTGCAATGAGAGAGATGTTGGGTTGGACTGGCTAAGGCTCTTGCTTTCCTCCTTCAGAAGTTCATGGCTTTGGACAAGCTGTTTTTTAATTCAATGCCTCAGCTTTTCAGCCTCAAAGTGAAGAGAGTATCTCCTTTAAAATAGTCTTGAACTCTCCAAAGAGGTGTGAGAGAGGTAGATAATCTTGGGTGATTTTCCAGGCACTAAATGATGTAACTACCACTTATCCTAATGTTTTGAACAGATTCAATTCTCTTGGGCAAATGACAATGTAAATTATGGTAATTTTGGATCAGTAATTCAGAGATCCTTGATGTATTTGTTTCCATTACAAGGGAATGGGATGTGAGTCCTGACTCTGTGACAAATACAAAACCTTGTTCTTTAGCAAATGGTTATTGTTGGCAGCAAAACACAGTGTGGATGTGGAAAACAGGAATCGTGTACGTAGCATGTTCCTACCATGTGCACTTCCCTGGAGTACATGACAGATGGTTTTCTGTAAACCAAAGGCTCCAGCTTTGTAAATGTATGGTTCAAAGGTGATCCACATCACATAAATGTTCTGCAACAGGATTCCTGTCAGCTCCTCAATCTTTTCTGCTACTGAGGGTCGTACTCAAATGTTCCAGTTATTTATAGTAATTAATTTCACAGTTTCAACTTGTCTTCTGCTGAACAGGTCTGCTTTTTCAGTTATTGACTGTCAGCAGCTTTCTGCCAAAAATGTCTTTAATCTTACTAGCAGGTGTATATCAATTTCTCCATGGCATCTTTGACTTGTTCTGGTACCTAATGACTGAACCAGTGCATATTCATTTTCTTTTTTTTTTCCTGTTTCTGAAAAAAATATTTCTATTCTTTACAGTTACATCAGAAAAGGAAGTAATGGTATCAATGAGTTCTTTTGCTAAAGCTTTGTGTTACTGATGCTCTGTCCAAACAGAGCTTAATCCACCAGCTTGTATTGTTCTTGAAACTTTACTCCTAAGCCAGGACAAACAATGCTGTAGAGAGACTTGGGATACCAGCAGAGCCACAAGCTATTTATTGCTGTGGGCCTAACACACGTAGGGAGTCTGTGTCTGTAGCTGTTTAAAGTTCAGTGCAAAGTCTGTCAATGGATTGGGTTGCATGGTGATCTGTTCCCAGAGCAGCAGGAGGGTGGGCAGTAGTGCAGAGATGAGATGCACACTGTCTTGGTAGAAAGGAGCTGTGACCTGAGGCAGGAGGTCATGCTTTAGATGGAGCAGTATCTCTATATCCTCAATGTATTTATGGTTTAGTGACTTCAGAGGTTACCTGAAAGGTGAAGGTCTCCAGTCAAGACTCGTGCTAGTATCTCTTATTGTAGCACTCAGTAGTTTTTCAGTAGTAATATCTACTCCTTCCCCCAGGTATCAAAGCCTTTTCCGTTTTCCTCAATTAACTGCCTTCACCTCAACAGTGAGCATTGGGTTTGACTAGTTGGGCTGTTTTGCAGTTAAACAACCAGGGAACACTAAGAGTTTCTGTTTGTGTATATGTATCACTGAAAAAGATTGGGCACACTAAATTAGTAGTAATTAAAGTGGCATTAATGAAGCATATCTGTTTCAAGTGAGTGAATGTTGAAAGACAACTGTTTCTGAATTGTATTACAGGCAGGGCTGTGTTGAAATAGTAGATCTTTGGTGTGGCTTGCAGGTATTTCAACTGTCTTGGTCTTACACTAAATCTTATGTTTTTGTGTGGAATTTAAGGAATGTCATTTCACCCAAGTTGTTTCTGCATTCTCTGTTCATCGTGAGCTGTAGTGATAGTGATATCTTAGACACAAGACAAACATGTCCTGGCTGTTCCTCAGTTCTGGAATGCAGAAGAACATTGCAAGATTAAATAAATCTGGAAGCATTTGATAGCTGTGGTACTCTAGTACCCATTATGATGGTAATTTTACTGTCACAACTATCCCATTCTTAATTAGGTTTTTTTTGTTCAAGTGGAAGATGAAATAAAACCTGACCCTATTTTTAAGAGGAGAAATGTCCAAACAAGATAATAGACATTGGCAGCCACTGTAGGTGTTTTGAGCCTTGCTATTCCAGCATCCCTTTGCTCCTATTATTTCCTTGTTTTTCTTTTCTCCTGTCTGCAGCAGTGATGCTTACCTGGCTGTGTGGAAATTACTCAGAAGGAAAAACAATGTGAAAAATTAATAGGTGAAGCCCTTCTGCATGCAGCAGCTAAATTTAATATGCATTGGAAATATAGACTTCTGGGCTTTTTGTTTTGTTTGTTTTGGGTTTTTTTTTTAATCCTTAGTGCTAGTTCTGCTTCATCTCTACTAGAATGCCAAAGGTGAAATAAACAAGCTGATAATGATGTTGAGAGTTTAGCTGGAAAGTGATGGAATGTTAAAACTACTGCATTTATCTTTTTAGTGGCCTGGTATTGGTAAGCTTTCAGTAGACAAAAACAAAGAAGCAGAAAAACCTGCTGTTTAATGTAGAAATGGGGGGAAAAGTGGCTATCTTATCAATGGTTGAATGAAATTCACAGGTGTACTCAGTGGGAAATCTGGGTAATTCTTTGAAGAGGAATGAAGTCTTACTGAAACTTGTTTTAACTCTCCAGCTTTAGGAGCTGTGTTGACAAAATAAAGAATTTTAGTTTGTGAGTCTAGGTCATATGAGAATTAATGTACAAACTCCTCTGATTTTCATTTCTCTTAGATACCTTTGTTGTTTAAATTTTTTTTTCTTAGAAGGGTTTTATTGCAAATAATGAAGTACTAATTTAGAAATGTTTATTAGACAATTAATTCTAAGAGGTAACTATGAAAGGTTTTCCAAAATGTGCTGATGTGTAAATTAATTTCATTTTCCTGCTTTCAGTCAGTCAAGTGCAGCCACTGATCACGAGATGTTACCACAAAATCTACCTCAGACTTCACTTTTGTTCATTCAGTTGCTGCGCCATAGATCTCAACGGGAGCTCTGCAGACACTCTTGAAAGTCTCTGAACAGATTGGGACATCAAGTCACAGCATGATGACCTAATAGGAGGTCAAAGTCTGAAAGATTGATTCAGCAGTTCAAGATAACACTGCCCTTTTATCAGTATCACTTCTGAAGGCTACGGACCTCCTGCCATTTCTTTCCTGGTTACTTCAGAAACACTCAGCTGACCTTTCTTTGGTGAAGAAATCTTGACTTTTCTCTCTGGTCCTGGAAATATTAATGGAATACAGTCATGTCTACCCAGGACGAGAGGCAGATAAATACAGAGTATGCTGTATCCTTGCTGGAGCAGTTGAAATTCTTTTATGAACAGCAGTTGCTAACTGACATAGTGTTGATTGTTGAGGGCACTGAATTTCCCTGCCATAAGATGGTTCTTGCAACGTGCAGCTCATATTTCAGGTGAGTATTCAAACGCTACAAAAACTGTGGTACCTGGTTTTAAGTGTAATAGTAATTGATTGACAATGTTTAGCAGAGACTTAAAGATCAGTAACGTAAGTACAAAACCTAAATATCCTTACTTTCCAACACAGAGTAAAATAAAATTTCTGGCTTCCTGGGACTAATTCTAGATATTTATTGTAGTTCCTACAATGAGGTGCGGGGGGGGGGGGGGAAAACACACTTGTGATGGCTCATTTTCTTTAGGGAGTTAAAAGAGTCTGAAAAATTAGTAAATTTCTTATTCTTCACACCAAATCTTTAAAATACTTAATCTGTTTTTATTTCCCAAGGTAGGATAATAAGGAATTACTGAGACTTGGCTGCAGGAATTCCATTGTCATGTTTAACTGCAGTTTCTTAGTAGAAGCATCTGCTAAAAGTAGGGATTGCTCTGCAAGTTCATGGCTTTCTTTTCTGAATCATCTGGTTTTCCCTGCTCAGCAAAGCTGGAAACTCTTCCCTTGCTTGAGTGTTGTGGCAATGCAAGTGAAGTTTTTCTCTGTGTGGTTGGGGGTTTTTTTTGGTTTTTGTTTTTTTGGGGTTTTTTTGGTTTTTTTTTGTTTTTTGGTTTTTTGTTTTTGTTTTGGGGGTTTTTTTTGTTTCATGGTCCCCCCAAGATACTGTTGAAATTTTAGTTCAGTAGCTCTTGTTTTCCAAATGTCCTGGTTTTGGTCTTTTAAAACATTTTTATTAATAAGATATGTTAAATGCTACCACATTTTGCAAATGCCTTCATAGTAAGACCTGGATGATGAGGCACCGTGAGTTTTCTGCAGTGATTAATCATTTTTGTTGGCAGCATAATATAATTAATCTGCCTGCCTGGAACAAATTTTGAAGATTGAAACTAGTCTGAGTGACATCCACGCATGTTCTACCTTCCTGATGCATTGTGGAGGGATTATAACTTTTCTTTCCTGTTCAGTCACTGGAAAGTTTACAAATTTGCTTTTCCTGAGACCGGCTCGCTATACAGAACACATCAGAGATGTTTTCTGTACTTTGTCTCATTTCTTGTAGAAAACTGTGGAAGGATTAATTTATTACTTTTACAGAAAATTTTTGTCCCTGCTGGCTTTTCTGTTTATTTTTTCATCTCAGATGAATCTGGTCCAACTTTTAGCAACAAGTATTGTGTGATCACTAGATAATAATTATTACCATTGGCCCTGTGCAGATGACATAGTTCCAACAATTTGTAAAATAACAGCCACTGAAAATGTAGCCAGATTTAATGTGGGTGGTTAATCATAAGGTTGGAAAGCTGTCATGAGTCCACCCAGTGTGCTGCATCAGAATGTGCAGTCAAATCTCTTATTCATATGTGTTTGTTTATTATTTATGGAATGAGGTTTTGGCACTGGTTAAAAGAAGTATCAAACTTGTGGTTTTGTCGTGTTCTGTTTTTCTTCTCTACTTTGGTTTACAAAAAGATGTTCAGCCTCCTAAATTTAGCTTTATTATGAAAAATTGATAGCCCTGAAGGAGGGGGAAGAAAAGTGAAGCATCTTTCTGTGTGATCCAGCCATTGTGTGTGATTGCAGCCAGCTTACCTTCCATCTTTGTGTCTGAATGATGTGCAGCCCTGCTCCAGCACAGGCTGCTCAGCAGTGTGTGAGCAAGACCTAGAGCCTCCAAGAGCTCCCTCTTCCTTTCTGAGGAGTCTCTGTACCCTCTTGTACTTTTTTGTTTATCTTTAAATAGCTGCATAGCAAGTTGATATCAGTTTGTGATCCCTCCTAAAATGCAAGTTGCCCTGAATTAAGGAGCTTAGAAGAAGACAGAGAAATGGGGATGGGATACTGTCTTTGTATCGGATGCTTGCTGGAATGGCTTGGCTTAGGGAGTGTATCTCCATGTCCCTTTCATCTCTGCAGCCAGAAGCAGGACTAAAAGGTGCACTCACTGCCCCTTCTAACTTTTCTCATGCCTGGTTTCCTAAAAAGAAAAGCCCAAATAAATATAAAGAGCCTTGAACTGAATTTTTAGCACAACCATAAATACCAAACCTGAATCAATATAAAGCTCTTGAAACCAATGTCCCCTGTTTTAAGAAAATTGACAAGTACATAGTTTATAGTACCAGATTGCAGTTAGTTCTTAACTGTGTTACAATTAAAATACTAGGATGGGCAAGAGGTGTGTGAAACATTAAGGAAACAATAACAATGTTTTAAATTGCCTTTCTAGTCTTTCTCAGGAAGATGTAATGGAAATACTCGCTCTTTTTTTCCCAGATTAGATCTGATAGGTTTTTCTGCTATTGATTTTTGTCTGCAAATTTGAAGTTTACTGCATGTTATGATGAATGGTATATAAGAAATAATTCATAAAGTGCTAGTCCTTGCTCCATTTCTTCTCCTCCCAGAGGAGCATCCTTTTTGATATGACTTAGCTCAGTCCATTACATAAATCTGCTTCTTTTGGTTCAGAATCTAAAATCTAGCTGTGTATGTTTCAACAGTGTTTTCTGGAGGATGTTTCTTCCCTCTTATCACCTATCATAGAAAATATTTAAATTGTGTCATTAAAACTCCAAAATCATTAGCACTATCTGCTGATTAACACAGAAGGGTTTGCATGAATATAAAGTATTTCTGCAGAAGACACTGATGTTCTGTCCAAATGTTATATTGGAAATGGATGTCAGCCTAAGGTAAATCCAAAACACCTGAGAACAGGCCTGCAAAAGGACTGTTCACCTTTAGGAGTGTAATCACCAAAGGCTTACAGGTGACTGTTTAAGATTACTCACTGCTGATCCTTGTCTTAATATGTGTGTTTCTCCTCAGAGCAATGTTCATGAGCGGGCTGAGCGAGAGCAAACAGACACACGTACACCTGAGGAACGTGGATGCAGCCACTCTGCAGATCATCATCACTTACGCATACACGGGTAACCTGGCAATAAGCGACAGCACAGTAGAGCAGCTCTATGAAACTGCCTGCTTCTTACAGGTAGGAATGTTTACAGGAGGAAATAACAGCTCCTAATCTCTGAACCACTTTATTCTTTATCTTGTTAAAAGATCTTTCCTATTTAGTAATTTCAAAACACTTTTGCTCCGTTCGCTCTGTATAGAGAGCAGTTGCTTGCCAAATTTGATTCATGTAGCCATCCCTCCTTGCATGACAGTCCCTTTGGAAGGCTGGAAATAAACCAGTGTACTTCTAACATTTAGAAAATTAGTTTTGCCAGCAGACATAATCACGTTGTGTACTCAGTCTGTGTGAAGCAGCTGAGTGAGTCACTGCTGTGTTTTTGTGTATGTATAGTATTCCATGCCTGAACTGTGTTGTTCAACACCAGACACAGGTACTTTATGTGCTGCTGCTCCATGACAGCATAGACTGTACGTGTAATACTTTGTGTGTTTCTTTGCATTACAGGTAGATGATGTGTTACAACGATGTAGAGAATACTTAATCAAAAAAATTAATGCAGAAAATTGTGTGCGTCTATTAAGCTTTGCTGATCTCTTCAGCTGTGAGGAGTTAAAACAGAGTGCTAAAAGAATGGTGGAGCACAAGTTCACAGCTGTGTACCACCAGGAGGCTTTCATGCAACTGTCACATGATCTACTGATAGATATTTTAAGCAGTGACAATTTAAATGTGGAAAAGGAGGAGACAGTGCGTGAGGCTGCTATGTTATGGCTGGAGTACAACACGGAATCCCGCTCGCAGTATTTGTCCTCTGTTCTTAGCCAAATCCGGATCGATGCACTTTCAGAAGTAACACAGAGAGCCTGGTTTCAAGGCTTGCCACCTAATGATAAATCAGTGGTGGTGCAAGGACTGTACAAATCGATGCCCAAATTTTTCAAGCCCAGACTTGGCATGACAAAAGAGGAGATGATGATATTCATCGAAGCTGCTGCTGAAAACCCTGGTAGTCTTTACTCATCTGTCTGTTACAGCCCACAGGCAGAGAAAGTTTACAAACTCTGCAACCCTCCCGCTGACTTGCATAAGGTTGGGACGCTGGTAACTCCCGATAATGACATCTATATAGCAGGTGGGCAAGTTCCTCTGAAGAACACAAAAACCAATCACAGTAAAAGCAGCAAACTCCAGGCTGCCTTCAGGACTGTGAATTGCTTTTACTGGTTCGATGCGCAGCAGAACACTTGGTTCCCCAAGACGCCGATGCTCTTTGTGCGCATCAAGCCGTCCCTGGTGTGCTGCGAAGGATACATCTACGCAATCGGGGGCGACAGCGTCGGCGGGGAGCTCAACAGGAGGACTGTGGAGAGGTACGACACCGAGAAGGACGAGTGGACCATGGTGAGCCCCCTGCCCTGCGCGTGGCAGTGGAGCACGGCCGTGGCGGTGCACAACTGCATCTACGTCATGGCGCACAACTTAATGTACTGCTACTTCCCCCGCTCTGACGCCTGGGTGGAGATGGCCATGCGGCAGACGAGCAGATGTTTCGCCTCAGCCGCTGCTTTTGGCGATAAGATATTCTATATCGGAGGACTGCATATTGCCAGCAATTCTGGGATAAGGCTGCCCAGCAGTACTGTGGATGGGTCTTCTGTAACGGTGGAGATCTATGACGTGAATAAAAATGAATGGAGGATGGCAGCCAACATCCCTGCCAAGCGCTATTCCGACCCGTGCGTCAGGGCCGTTGTCATCTCCAATTCCTTATGTGTCTTTATACGGGAGACCCACATGAATGAGAGAGCCAAGTATGCCACCTACCAGTATGACCTGGAACTCGACCGCTGGTTCCTGAGGCAGCACATATCGGAGCGCGTGCTGTGGGACCTGGGCAAAGACTTCCGGTGCACTGTAGGAAAGCTGTATCCATCTTGCCTTGAAGAGTCCCCGTGGAAACCTCCAACGTATCTCTTCTCGCCAGACGGAGCTGATGAATTCGAGCTGGATGGGGAGATGGTTACTTTACCACCTGTATAGCTCCCAAATGAGACTGCACAACTGAGTCTGTGCTCAGTTATAAAATAATAAAAGAAATAAATGGCTGTGAAAGAACAGGTCTGGGGACGGAAATCTCAGAGCTGTCTTTCATGAGTTGTATTTTTATGCCCTACCTAACACTTGCCGCCATTCAGTATGAATTAGTGAAAAGAGCAGATATGCTTCCATAATCTCAAATACTATTATCAGATAATTGAGAAAAATATATGTATATCATGAGCTTGAGCATCTGACTTGTCTAAAGAATTAATTCTAGTTCTATAAACTCTCCATTCAGGAAAATTAGCTTAAGAAAAAAAGTAGTTATTGTTTCTAGGATGATGTCACAACTCTTTTGAAAGTATCTTCCAGTTACATTTTAACTACTTCTGGATATTCTACTTAAGTGCTAGTTATATAATTGTCAGTGTGGCCTAATTAAAGGACTGTGCCGCACTTACTAAATACTAATATCTATGTTGGTATAGTAATGCCATTAAAAGAAAAAGAAACAAATCCCATGGATCTACACCTGTGGTAGGAAGGGTAGATCTTCCATTGTATGGTAACATGCTGGGCAAAATGACTGCAGGTTCAGTCAAGCTGTATGATGAGGTGCATGTATTCTATTTTCACTAACTTATACCTGTCTATTTAGAATACAGGTCTTCCAAGCAGCTGGTAGATTACCAGGTGTGGACTTAAGTTGCTGGGCTTGCGATAGGAATTGCCAGCCCTCATAGTGCGGGTCTATGTGGGGCTTTAATCAGTAAATGCCTCCACGTTCTGTATTACAGTAACATTGGCTCATGTATATTACTTCCTGCTGCTGATGTATTTTTCCATTGTAAAACGAAGTTTTAGTGTGGATTAACCAGGTCTTTATTTTCTGTTAATTTAATAACAAGCATTACTGTAGTGTGATTGTGTATAGATATCCCTTAGCTGTCAGGTTTTTTACTTTGGGGGGGAAGCAAACTTCAGGAATATCCTGTGCTGTGTGTGCAGGAGAGCAGATGCCTAGTGCTGCTCTGGCATTAATCCCAGGAACCACTAGCAGTAGCGGGGTGCCGCCAACCTAACATGAACACAGGTGCTTCATGACAAACCTTACTAGCATGTTCAGCTGCATCATGTTCTGGCACTGTATTTTGAATGACATTAATTTATTAAAAAAGACTGAATCCAGTTGCCTGAGTGTGCTTTTTGGCTGAAATAAATAGAGCTGTGCCACCCTCCCACCACATGCACACTTGTAGCAAGTTGCTTATTGAAGGCAGCTAGAAATAGTTAAGCTGCAAAAAGCCTGGAGATGAGTATGTTAAGTTGGTGTGCTCACTACTACTCAGCAGAAGCTGGAAATTAGGTATTGAAGTCAAACTGAGGATTACATAGGACTAGAATCCCCTGCTATCATTTTTGTAAATCAGCACTTCAGTCATGGTACAAATTCTGCCCTACTGAAAGTGAAGAACAGCAGGCATTAAGGAGGAACATTGTGTGTAAGTTCAGAAGATGGCAGACCTATTTTCAGTCTTAAGTAATCAAGAGCAAATTTATTTACTCCATTGACCAGACTGTCACTGGCTTTTCCTTAATTGTTTCTTATTGCAGTAGATACAACTGCAGTCTTCAATAATGACATCTTTGTATTGTTTGGGCTAGGTCTCAAGGAGCCTTACAAAGTTTTGTCTTTGTGCAATGATTAAAGGTTTTGACTAGAAAAGGGGCTTTAGATAAGAAAGCTGCCTTCTATAAAAACTCTTCCAGATGCTTTGGTATTTTGTGCCACGTGGAGGATTTATGAGACTCAGAGTAACAATGGCAAGCAACCAATTTTATTTTTTTTTATGAAGGTGACATAACATGTTTGCATTTACCATTACATAAACTTTTTTTTTAACACCTACATATTTTAGATAAGAGGTGTGAGGTGACTCAGGAGCTCCTGCTGATAGGTCTGTTTATATTGCTTTCATGTCACAAGCCTGTGCAAGGCAGCATACATAAAAAGAAGGATAGATACTCCTTTATAATGCAATTTGGAGAATCACATACCTCAGGCAAAAACATGAGCTGTATCCAAGTAACTGCAGCCTGCATGGGCTGCTCACTTCTGTGGCTCCTTCTCACTTCACCCTACTGTTATCAGGCTGTATTAGGCTCTAGGACAAGGCTTTGTTATTTTAACTGCAGATGATCTATAGCTAGTGAAGGGGCAAAGTGGGCTCATTCTGTTACTGAGAACATTCATCTTGAGTTTAAAACATTATGTGTAGTTTCTTACTGGAGGAAAACAAACCAAAAAAAAGAGTGTACTTGAATACAAATAAGAAATACCAAATAGGAATTGCCATGGATGTAAGTCACAACTGCCTCAAAGAACCTGGAAGAACTTGGTTTTATCCATTTAGGAACATCTTTTGAAAGATGTTTTAACATCTTTTACATGCAGACAGTCTGTATGGTTTCCTGCTCGTCTGCACCTTTTATAATTTTTTCCTGTACATTACCAGTATGTTTTGTTTCTTATGTGGCCCAAGATTATATAGTACCTTATGTAAAATGTATTTGTTATTAATAATATGGCAAGTGGTGAACAGTCTCTAGTGACTGCTAAAGACATAGTAGTTCACTTACACAACTGCTTTCTGAGCCAGCATTCATCCCCAAAGAAAAACAGCTGGCAAATGCTATTCTCCAGTCTAAATTCTTGTCTTGCATAATTGAAGAAGGAAACTGTGCAGCCAAAGCATTGTCATCTGCCTGGAAGTGGTCACTAGTGGTAGAATTAGAGAAAGACTTCTGCAGGAACAAAGACAACAGCTGAAAAAAAATGCAGTTCTCATGTCATAAATGGAGCAAATATGATTAAAGCCTCAACAGAGCTCTAACTAGTGTCTTACTACAAAGCTTCAGCCTAATCTTAGCCTATTCAGCATGTACTTGGCTTTGAAGTACATTTACATACAAGTTTCAGTGAATCAACTCATGTCCTCAAGCTCTGCTGCATTTGCAAAGTTTACCTCTTTTCTGGTAAAGCAAATTTAAGTGAGGCCTACATAGGTTCTGTTTCCCTTACCTAAAGTAATAAAAGAAGTGATCTGGCCTCTGCTAACTTTTAATGCATTCAATCATTTTTTGCAGTTGTTTAAACACATACATAATTGCAAGTTTCATTTTTGTTGTAAAGGATCGATCAGATCTGGGACAGTGAATTAGGCCAAGCTTTGCAGAGACCAGGCTCAGACAGATAGTTAAATTTGGGGGGAAAATAATTTGATGACATTTTAGAGATTATTTCAGCATTTCAAGCACTACTGTTTTTCACAGTATTTCTCATTTCACTTCTCAGTGCCTCTCTAAGATGCACAAGTACCTGCCACATTGCACTACAGCTAAGGGACATGTGTGGACAGACCTCCAGACCACTGAACTTATTAGCCAGGAGAGTTTTTCCTCCTTTGTTTCCCATTTCCAGCTACCTTCCAGTTGTTTCCTGTTTTTTGCTCTGAATTCCTACATAAAAGGAATTATAATTTAGGCAGACTCTGAACCAGGTTCACCCTTAAAACCAGTTTCTTTCCACTTCATGCTTAACATTAGCCACACAAAGTTCTGTTTAGTTCCACTTTCAGAAGTATTTAAAATACCTCCCTCCTACAGCATTTCTCATGAGTACAGTTCAGCAAGGCAGAGTTGTTACAGGGCCTGAAAACTCAGAGGAGGAGTCTGAAGAGAAAAAAAACATGAAACAATTTCCAAAATTTAAGAGCTGACATATGCTTCAGCCAGCTCTTTGGCACATGGCAAAATCCATATACACACACATTTTTCACAGCAGCAAAGTCAGTAACCACAGGTGATATTAGGCAGTATGTTAAGCTCAGTGTCATTTTTTGCCACTTCTTGGTAGGCCTGGACTTTTAAATTCTCCACCGTGCATTTCTTCAGATATGAGAGATCAACTGAGTTCCCTTCTCCAGTATTTTCCATCTATTTCATAGAGTGTGCAAGTGATGTTATTTCCCATAGTTTTTAAGACAAGATGGCAGCTGTACATCTGCCTTCCCTTCAAATAACTGTTCTTCCTCCAGTCTAAGCATTCATGCTTGATTATGCTCACCTGATCCAGAAAGCAGTGCCACAGTATTGGTGATTTGGATTCAGACCAAAAAAGAAGATTTTGTAGGCATTCTCTGCTACTATTAGGGCAAACAGTAGTTGTGCTTTCATCAATATTAGTCAATAAATTCAGGGGTGGAAGAAAAAAAAAACACATTACTTGATCAGTTGATTTTGAAGTATTATTACAAGAGGAACAACGTATGATCCAACAATTTTGACTCAAGAGAGCTAGAGTTCCAAATTCCATCCCAACTGAGACTGAGGCACCTGTGTAGAGATGTTATGCACAGATGATGTCAATTTGCAGGGAATAAGGTAATTTGAGTAAAGGTCACTATTTAACTGACACAAGTGATCCATTTGCCTATTTTTTATGAACCCAAACACTGCTTCTGATGTTTGTTAAAGAATGGGGTCAAGACCAGAAACATCACAGAAGTAAAGCTCTGTGTCTGTTTTTTTAAGTCAGTCCTTTCTCTAATATAGCATGAAAGACTCGAAAGACCAGGAAGAAATTTTTCATACATCTTTAATCATAATACAATAATGTAGTGTTTCTCCCTTTGATGAATAATCTCCATGTTGCCCTTTTTAATGAAAACCAAATACCTGCAAGAAAGTGAAACTGCAGTGCATAAAAAGCATGATGTAAATTTATCTTTCAGTGTCTTTGCCCAACTACTTGTACACAGTCAGAAAAACCTTAACAAATGTTAGGGAATTGCCACCATTCTCTAGACAGAACCTTTGTCTAACTCACATCTAAACCTTACCCAAGGCAGTCAGTTTCCTCCTTCTGGAAAACCCATTTACCAAATCCTTCTCAGACAGGTACAGTGACAGCTGCAGTAGAAGTTCTGAAGTTTTAAAACAGCTCCCTATGGCAGAGAACTGGGTGTGCAGCAATTAATTTACACAGCATCTTGATTTTGACCAGATGTCACAATCCACAGAAACTACAAGTTACTTTGAAGCTAAATCTACACCAAAATTTTAGTTGTACTTGAAATTCTTACTGATGTAAGAGAGGTCTGTGACCTCCTGAGGACTTCAATCAATCCACAAGAAGCAGCACCCCACAGGGAATAAAAAGTCACTCTAGAGGATCCTTTTGTCCTAAATTTTCAAAAAGCAGCATCCATAATCAGTTTAAATGGAAGACAAATTTCAAAAATACTGCCAGTGAATTACCAATATCAAAACCAGATGCCTGCAAGTGTCTTCTGGTGGAATTAATTTATTAAAATAATACAGCTTTCTGACCAGATGGAACTTTAAACAGGCTGGATGTATTTTATTTTTCAAGCAGCACAGGAAAAATCAAATACATTACTTGTATGTTCAATTATCAAGCAGTAGTTCCTATGTTTAAAAACTGCATTCACACCTTCACTTTTACAATTAAATACTGCCACATTAGTTTCTCTGCTTAGTAATAATTTGTATGGAAATCAGAAGCTTGTTTAGGCAAAATATTATATTTAATTACAAAGGTGCTTAAAACAGAAGTACAAAGTCAAACAAGTGCAATGTACCAGAACACTGACCTAAAAACTCTAATTAAATTGTGACATTTGAGGAAACTGGTGTGAGATGTGTACAGGAATTAAGGTCATGACATGAAAATCACTGATGAAAGATGCTGAACACTTCAGTCATATGAAATATAAGGTCAGCAACACTTAAGTCTTGTGGGGTTTGGGGGACTTACATCTCATTTCTCTGCTCAACAGGCAGTTCCTCAAATGCTGGCACATACAAAAAGCTGAGGTTGATGCCTGTGATGAGAGAAAGTTGAGAGGTTTGCTATTGTGTTACCTGTAAGTCAGTGTATGCTGCATGCTGACCGCCAGAAATACCTCTGCAACACCAAATCAGGACAGAGTTGTAACAATACCTTCACAGCTGACTGATTGGAGGCACTATCACCAATTCACTCAGGACCCTTTGTTTCTTACAGTGCAGAAATAGATGTCAGGGCTTTTGAAATGGAAGTCGACTGCCTAAATCTTTCTGAATAATTAATAATGCCTGCGCCGGAAATATTAAAGCAGAGGAGA